GCGTTACTGCAGACATCACTGTTGAGCTTTCCAGCAGATTTAGAAAATTTTTTAACGTTCCGGATGACTTCCCGAAGTTCATAGGAGCTTGCAAATTTATTTAACTTTGGTGGTAACATTGCAGAGGTTTCTAAAAACTTTCGAATATTGTTCAACGTTCCTAACAGTGTAACCAAGATTTTTGGTGACATATAAAAATATGAATATTAAGACATAACTATGTGAAATAGTTAAAAATAGAAAGCTATTAAATAATTGTTTTCTTTTCTTTTTTGCAATTAAATACAAATGTTGGATTTAAAGAAATGCTCAGTAATGATTACAGGTGAACAGGTTTTTTGCTTCGTTAACAATTCACCTGGTATAGTTAAAAGCATGCTATTTGAATGAAAAGCATTGGAGAAATGAATAAAAAGATGAAGGAGCTATAACGTAATGTTAGTGTTCTATGTTAACTTTGCTCCAAATAATAACAAAAGGGAGTATAATCTTTAAGCGAGAAAACCAACGGTTTACTAAAGGATACTAATTTGTCATGACATCTTTTATCGTGAACTTAAAAGCAGCGGTGTTAAACAATCATGGTAATGAAAGCTTTTTTGTTATAATTGTAAGAAAGCAAACTTGAGAAACGAATAAAGTATCCTCTTGATTCAAACCGAACAAGCGTCTATCATTAACGTACTTCGATCAAATAGAATTCTATTGTTTGTGTTACGCACACGTAAATGACATCAGAATATAAATATTTATGATAAAAAAAAAAACCCAAACATATGAATTGGCTTTCAACAACTGTATAACTCTACGATGTAAAAATTTGTAAAAAATTCAACTCACTTAAAATAAACTGGGTTAGGCACATGTATACTATAAAAAATATAAAAGACTTTTGCACTGTTTTTTCATCATAAAATCGAGTGAGATATTTTGTAGAATATTGTATCAAAAATTTACAGTTATTCATCGAATTTTCAATTCATCATCACGACAAATTTTCCTAATTTAGTTAACTAAATAAAACATATTTATTCAATTGAAGATGAAAACTAGATTAAAAATATGTTGTAAGGGTTCTTAAGTAAACGTTAGAGAATGATAAAAAATATAAATGGTCGAGTATCAACGATAATAAATGGTTTAGCAGAAAATAGAAGAGTTCCAACAGAAGAATGAGTGAAGCAAATTGAGAAAGGTCGGGATAAATTTTTATGACCCTTGACCCCTTTGTCCAACTTAAAAAAAATGTTTGTATCTTTATTTAAAGGGATATTCATTCAGAGAGACACTAACTGTACTTATATATGTTGTAATTATTTTTTACCATGAACAATATCTGAAAGTCTTTGTATTTTTTTATTGCTGCATTCAATTTAAATAATGGTTCTGACTATTGTTAATATATTTTCAGATAAAATTAGAATTTGAAATGAAGAAAAAAAAGTTCATCTTTTGTTGACTTGTCGAAAATAAACAGACGACTTATTGCCTAATAATTAATTTTACAATAAATTTTGGATGACCCTTTTAAAAGCTACTTTAATAGTTTTGATTATCTTATAGTGCACAAACTTCTGGAGTCCTCTAAGTTAACCAAAAACGTATCGAAGGTAGATTTGAAATCTAAAAATTTTCTTTCAATATCGGTTTATTTCAATTATTACTTTTGATTTTGTGCAAACAAGATGATAATAATGCCAATTGGTATAATTTATTTATGAAATCAATGACAGTAAGCAGGATTTTTCTTAAAGGTAATCTAGAACATAAATACGATGATCAATCACATGAGAAAATTTCTAAAATTCACTGTGCAATCATGAGAACTGAACCTATTATCCTGGTGAATGCAGAAAATTTTCCCGATTGAACAGATCAATTATACTTGATGGCATGTGCAGTGTAGGTATAAATACATTAGAGCAGCGTATGTAATAGAGAAACGGGAATTTCTGAAAGCATGAACAGAGAGAGAAAGCTATTAGGGATATACATGCAGCAACAGCTTGATATACACCATTCTCTCCTATGCCCTCTACTTTACTTGCAATCGCGTCCTAGCATTTCCGAAAATCCGCTTATTCAAGCGCTGCGGTTGTAATTAAATTCGACAGGATAAGGACGAATGGACAACTTGGAGATTACTTCAACCAAGCATACTATAGTTAGACTATCTTCACATGTTCCTAGCCTCATGCTATACAAACTTGAAAACTAGATAACAATCAATATTGGAAAATCACTCAAAACTGAAGAAATTAAAGTACTACTTCTATGTTACAGAAATAACGAGTAATCATAAAAGTTTATAAGTCGTTTTGATAAAATTGACTACCCGTTCAATGATCTAAAACAAAATCAAAATGTCAATTGTCGAAGAATATCAACCAATAAGTAAGAAAGACATCTTCCATTGTTCAAATATCTCCTGTCAAACTACCCAAAAACTTTTTAGAACTTCCAGTTAGTATTTTCTTATGTTAAGAAAGTCAGATAAATAAAAAACGGATATAACAACCGATAAATTTGCTAAGTAATGCTGAACATGGTAAACGAATATCTTAATCGAAGCAAGATATAGCAGCTTGAAACCTTTAAAGTTTGACTTGGAGCAAAAATACTTTATTTTCATAGCTAAAGTTTATAAGTTTTATTAATAATAACGTTGATCTTCTGCTTATTAATGCTCTTGACTGGACGTGATATTTTGCATTAAGCAAAATGTGTACCAAGCTTTCTACAACTAAATTATGTGTTTATATTGGAAAGAAAATAAGTTAATAAAAATGAAGATGAAGCTGTTATTGATACTGATTCTATTGGACTTTAATCTACCAAAATCGTGATCCCCTATTGATTTAACTTCGATTAACTTCTCTTCGAATCCAACAGGGAAAGTATAATCAACGACCAAGTTAAACAAATCCTTGGAAGCTAATATGTCACGTTCAAAGACAAACGTGTCAAAGAGTAAAGCTTGCACAGTAACCATTCTGCAAGTTGAAGAGATAATTGAAAAGGAATATTTATTGTATAAGAACAAGTACAGGAATAAAAAACACAAAAGATTAATTGCAAAATAGAAAGAAAGAATTTTCCACAGAAGAATTGCCCAAGAAAAATAAGGGCAACTTTGAACATACAAAGATATTTCAACAGAGTGATTAAAATGATTATAAAAGTCGAGTGTAAGAACAAAGAAATTACCATAAAATTGTAACGTCTTCTATATAAAATTTCTCATTAAATACTTGTGTTTCAAGGAACTTAATATTTTATCAAGCATTATACTTTTAAATATAAAATAAAAAAAAATCATAAAAAACAGAAGATGTAATTGAAAATGTAAATTAACTTCAAAATCAATATCAAGTTTGGAAAGGAAAAAATATTAACTGAATTATAATGGTACCAAATTAAGATATAAAAATTTCACCTTCCCATCAAATCCACGCAATTATTGAGCTCAATATTAGGAATTTGTTCAATATCGGATGACTTTATTCTCATCAGAATACTGCATGAAATATTTTTTACTAGTACGTTAAATTAAATTTTATTTCCAGTAGTATTTGTCAATACTTGATATATTCGGAAATCTTATCACGAATATTAATAATCATTCGATACGTATCAGGTAAATATTTCTATTTACATTCAATTCTTCATGAGTATTGAAGAACTTGAATGCAGAGATAATTTTCAAAACATTCCATTATTAATAAACGAGTAAATTAATTTCAAAAACGCTAGAAAGATCTTTAATAAAAAAGGAAATATTTCAAAAAATATCATTCTATTTAGTAGGGAACAAAAGAGGAGCTGAATGAAAAATTTTTATTTATGAACCGAATAATAAATAACAAATATTTTGTTAATGTTTTAAAAAATATTTACTCACTGAAAAATGATCTTTTTATCCGTGTAGGCAGAGACTATTAGCTGAAATATATTCTTACTATTAATTAATATATTTTACACAAAAAATATTCAAAATATATTCAAAGATTGTATTTTACAAATTTTTTTGTATCAATTATAAAAAAGCGAGAGATTTAACCGTAGGAACTAAAACATTGTTTAATTAGCTTTTCAACAAAAGTGAATCTCTTTCAGCAATTATTTGTTTTCCATAATAATCCAATAGATTGTATTATTACTCATTTCAACAGAAAATATCCCATTGACAATATTATCTAAATAATCATCGATATGATTTAAAAGGTATTTTAACGATACAGGTCAGAGTTTATAAAAGTTTTATCAGTTCGACAGATAGATATAAAAAATGAGGAGGAATTATTTGAATTCGCGTAGTTGAGAATGATATGGAAATGGACCAATGAAAAAGAAAAATAATGTTCATGCTTGCACTAGTTAGTGTTCTTTCATCCTTTTTATCCTACTTTTTAGCTTCCAGCGGAAAAGGTGGCAATGTATTTGTTATCGGAGACCAAGAGGAAAACTCGTTGAATCGTAAATTCTCACCTTAGTCATTTTACACGTCCTTTTCAACTCTTTCTTCCTGCCATTAGTGTTATAAATGAATTTAACTGACATCACGTTTTTCAAGTTTCAATATGATGCATAGCTGAGGAAACGTAGTACCATGATTTTGTACATCAATGAATATTCATTCAATCTAAACAAAACGATAGTTGAACCAAATAGCCAACCATGTACTTACTATCGCTTAGGATGATGCACGACTCGCGTGTGATATCGCCGTCTGGCCTCGTTATACGCTTAGTCATATCGAGACAGGTATACTGACTTTCGAAAAATTGAATACCAATGGGCGTGCATTTAAAGCAGTAATAATTTTCGAAAACTATTTCACGAATATCTAAATCCAAATTTTCACCAGATGTTAAACGAATCGATTTCATATGGCAACTTATAATAATACTCTAATACTCGTATTTATGAGTTGAGTATAATTCTTAACTGAGTAGATTAATTAGAACACTGTGAATTAATATAAAAAAATATATGCATACCTAATCGTATATTACGGATTACGTTCAAGTACAGTGCAAAATCCCTCGAATATAGCTAGGATAATGAGCTACTCTAAAACTGCACCTTCCGGGAGGCTGAAATTCTGCTAATTCTAGGATACACCTGTAACAAAAAATACACAAATGTATAATTATACCAATTATTCATTTTCATAAAAACTGGATAAAAGATTTCCAAGATCCATACCCTTCAGGTTGAAAAAAGTGTAAGAGAGGATTATTAGATAATATTTGCCGCAAAATTATACATCATAAGGGGGTAGACATTTTTTTTCAATAGTTAAGCAAACATTTATTCTAGAGAAAAATTGCGAATAATCTTAAGTTTTATTTGATTACATTTACTGATAGTATATACTGTATACACATGCTCAGCAATGCTTATTATTCATGTTACATTTATATAGATGTATCGTACTTGTTGATACTGTTCTTCATTTTTTATTTACACAAACTCAATAACCGATATTGAAGACTTTATGTATTTAATTAGCATAAAGTAATCAATTTACCAATAAAGTTTATTTTTAATATAACAGTTTGTAGCTAGAGTGATATTGACTTGAGACCTGTATAAATAGATATGAGAGTTTTTATTAGAATTGCGATACTTATAAATAACAGAGAAGTTTTTTTTATCTATTATTAACAATCTCTCTTTATTGTAAGTATAATGCTCTTGTGCAGTTGATATGAATTTCTCTTCTTCTATTAAAAATCAAAACACATGTATTAAACATGAAGAACCTATATGAGCTTACTACATGCAGAAAAATTATCTACTCTCATCAGCTTGAAGCTTTTTAAAATTGTTAATATCCAAATCCAAGAATAAAATAAATACTTTTGTCTTCTCAATAAATTAAGATCTTTTTCAACAGAAATTCTACTCTTTTCTCTTTTATCGACATTTAAAGAAGAAAATTGTAATGTAAGTTTATTCACAGTGATTGACGGCTATCGCTTTTATGCATAAAATGGTTTATGAGATATTGATGGATTGGTAAATATCATTCTCAAATATTTTAAAACTTTTACATTATTAATAAATATTAGCTTTAGGTTATTTACAGAATTATAACGATCAATTAATATCACCTTAGTAACCTGAATCGTCCTTTTTTGTTCGTTACTCAAACAATTTTTTTTATTATTGTTAGCTGGTACATTCTTTTCTTATCATCATAGAATATCATTGATAATTAGTTAATATTCCCAGAAAGTTAATATTATAAACTAATGGAGTTGCACTTCTATTACTGCTTATTCAATTATCGACGCAAAAATAAACTCGCGAACCTCTAAAAAAACTTCAACCATCATCCAATCAACCTGGTCTGCAAGCTATATGTAATTTAGCTTTCCAAATTGGACGACTCTTTATAGAATATCATTTTATTGTCCCACAATCTTGTCTGTTATCATCATGATTGAGCTATTGTATTGTTCCTTCGTGAATAATTATTCACTATTTCCCTATTGAACGTATTAGAGAAAAATAACTGTACCATTAAGAGATTTTCGTATAAATTGTAAATGATAATTTATAATCTCAAAAGCAACAACCACGTAGAACGAGATAATAACAGCACGTCTGTTAACGGTAAATGAGTGTGCACTATTGTTGTGAAAATTGTCGAAATTTGAACTCATTGGAGATTGGGCTGTGACACACACCTACAGACACAATAACAAAATTCATTACACATCTACACACATCGTTGAATGGTCTATATAAACAACCATTTACCATTAAATATATGGAACATAACCAAATGTATACAAACGTGATCTGTTTCATCCGTCCTATTTCAAACAAACATATAACAATTTAATTATAATTGTGTTCAGAAATCAACGAATACCTGTCAAACATCAATCTAAATTATTCTCATTTTCGCATTTTCTATACTATTTAAATGTCTATATACTTTTAATGGGCCGAAGTATTGTTAGATAACAATTCTATTTAAGTTGATTGGTGAATTTAAACAATTCTGCTATTTTCGACTGGTTTATATGAATGTCAGAATTGATTTTTTTTTGGTTCACTGTACATCATCAAAGTAATCATGAAAACGAATTAAAAATATTTCTATTTTCCAAGATTTAATATCAATTTTTTGTGGTTGAAAAATGACAAAAGCTATTTATTAGTAGAGAGGATATTGTTATGGTTGGTATTTGATAGAAATACGCTCATTAAAAAGCTGTTTTGCACCCAAGCAGTTTGAAAAATGACCTACTTTATTTTATATCTTTTAATTACGTCTTCTGGTCTACTTCACCGCTTTGTTGGCAAATTTTTCGACCGTTAGATGACGTCTTTTTGAAATCTCGCCAAGATGATGACACCCGACATACATAAGATGCATAATTTTTAGTAGATTTTAGATAAACATTTAATTCAAAATGAAGAGAAAAATAAAGCAAAATGTAAATTAAAGTAATTTTTTTTTAATCAATTAATTCAACTAATGTTGTTCCAGTATTGTTTACTTACAATAATTAATGAGTGGTTTTTCAAATAATTTTTAATTTAAATAGAATAAATAGACAAAAGTGGTATTGTTCTCTAACAACGATTATTCAGATTCCAGTAGATATATCAAAATGAAATATGCTTTCAAAATAACAATAATATTTACGCTTGAATAAAAAATAAAATAAAATCTTTCTATGAAATTTTAATGGAAAAGTAACAATAAATATTTCAACTATTAACCACTCTTCAGATTTTGATCATGTTTATAGAATATTGAACAACTATGGCAATCTATCCGATCGAATATCCAACAAGCAGCACTGAATGGTCACCACGATCAAAAGCTCTGCATGCAGGATCTCTCTGGATAGCAGCATTAATCGAATCGACTATTGGACGTGGCATCCCCCCTGTTATTCTATTACTAAAGCAGCCATTGTCTTCCGTGGTTTATAGTCTGACTACCGGCCGCCCCTTTTCAGCTCTCATCTCTCACCCTTCTCATTGCTTCCGATCGCGGTTCTCCAACTACACGAAAACACATCGACGATCGAGATTGTTGAGTTATCACCCAACAACAATTTCGTGACCAATCGACCGATACTTTCACAAACTGTTATTATTTAATTATTTTAAATGAAATCACCATTTTTTTTCCTAATTCACTTTTAACTGTCTGTAAGAGAGAAATTTCTGAAATTCAATCACCATATAAATGCATTTAGATTAAATAGTGATATTTCTACATAGGTGAGAAAATTATTCTGAAGATTTTTAGGTGACTGGTCTCAGATTTACAATAGAAAATGGTTTGTATTAAAAACATAGGGAATGCTGTATCAATAAATGTTGTTCATTAATAAGATTCATTTTCAGTACTTTGTATGAATGTAATTCAATATTTCAAATAGTATATGCATGAAATATCCATGAAGAAGTCCAAGTATTTGTCAACAATATCAGAATAGAATATAATGTTATGTAAAAAAATTGAAAAACGTTTTAGTAATCCTTTTTCTTTACAAGTTAGTTTACGCAGGAGTAGGAAAATATTTGAAAATTTTTCACAAACACTTTGAAGCGGCAAAAAAAAAATTTTTTGTTGTTGCCAGAACTTCTTTATGCATAAAAAAATTACAGTGAGAAAACAAAGATGCTTTTGTTTCTCTTGATATTACAAACGGTAAAATTTATCTTTTACATTTTATATATTAATAGATAAATGTGTATCACTTTATGTATGATCACAATAACATCTTTAAAACCTAAAAAGCGATAATAAAAAAAAAATAAATCCACAAAGATGCTAAAAATTTTTAATAAAACAAATATTCAATCATAAAACCGCAATAAAAATGTTATAATAAATTGATAATAAAAACAGAAAATATTGTGGAGTAATTTTTTATTGATTTTTATTATTATACTCAAATAAAGCAACTTTCAATATTAGTTGATGAGCACAGGTCAGCTCTTATGTGATATAAACCCATCGCTGTTGATTTTGTGCTCACAGTCCAATAACGAACAGGGATAATAATTAAAAAGAAAAAATTAATCTTCATAAAAAAGTTGACGCTATTCATTTTATTCATGCCAATGTAATCTCAAATTTAAAGTATAGTGGAATGAAGAAATAATCGATTTTATAAGACGTGAGATTGAATATTGGCAGCTCTCAAAATACAAGTCTATCGATGCAACTAATATATTCTTTTACAATATCACACCCAGCTTGGATTCGCTATCTATATAAAAGTGGCGTGTTGATATGGGCAATGAAAAGAAAACAAATGGTTGTCTGTGATAGAGTTTCTAACAAAAACCGAATCTGTTTCCGATACACAGCACTAGCATTTAAATTCGATCGTATTTGCCATTAATTTTTTTTCAACTTTTTGTTTTGCTTTATTAAAAGCCCATTTTCCAGTTTAATTAAAACAATTATCGATATTTCTTTTCTACTTTATTTGTTTAACGGAAGTTGTTGTTCTATAAAAACGGCTATATATTAATTAAAATTTTCTAAAAGACTCGAGTATTGGTAAAATCAATTTATATTCCTATCAAAAATTATAATTAATTATAAATACAATTAACCTAGTATTTCGGCACTTTTTCCTGTATTCATATCAACAAAAAGAAAACCAGAAATTCATTTTGTTTGCTTAATGAATGAAAGAGCAGCTAAGAATGGAATAATTTTGGACCATATTGAATACTTTGTTGACAAGTTTTGAGAGAAAATAACAAGCGCGTATAATTGTGGCTGGAAGTACATTATTATTATCAGTGTCATGAGTTCTGGAAATAGCAGTTTTTGCCAATATTTGAAACGTTTCCGAATAATGAACAATTATAATATTGTTAATTTTAAAAATATCTACGTCCAATAATGACTGACATCAGATGAATTATTAATTAAATGTTATTTTATTCAATTACTATTCTGTTATGCCGTTTACAATAATTTGGAAATAATGCATTATAATCAATAACGTGATGCAAATAATTTAGAATTTAACTTGTACATCTACATTATAAAATAATAAATGTAAAAATTTTCATGTGAAATTGGTCAAATGAAAGGTTTTGTAGAGTTGAAATTTCCATATAAT